TCACATGAGTCAATTCTACAAGTTTTTTTTTTTTTTTGTACTGGGGATTGAACACAGAATACTTTACCACTGAGCCACATCCCCAGCCCTTTTTAATTTTAATTAATTTTTTTTTGTAGTTGTAGAGGGATACAATACCTTTATTTGTTTTTTAAGTTTTTTTTTTTTTTTAAATGTGGGCCAGGGATTGAACCCAGTACCTCATGCATGCTAGGCAGATGCTCTACCCCTTAGCCACAATCCCGGCCCCTATTTTTTATTTTTTAAGACAGTCTTGCTCAGTTGCTCAGGGTCTCACTAAGTTGCTGAGGCTAGCCTTGAATTTGCTATCCTCCTGCCTCAGCCTGCTGAGTCTCTGGGATTACAGGCATGCAATACTGCACCTGGCTCTGCAACAGTTTTTAAATGAAGGAATGAAGTAAGTATATATATTGGGTAATCTAGAAATATTCTTTTTATTTATTTATTTATTTTTTGGTGTAGACGGACACAACACAATGCCTTTATTTTTATATGGTGCTGAGAGTCAAACCCGGGTCTCGCCCTTGCTAGGCGGTGCACTACTGCTGAGCCACAATCCCAGCCCCTAGAAATATTCTTTTTTTTGTTTTTATTAGTCACACATGACAGTACAATGGTCTTGACAGTTCATACATTTGAATCAAGTGGGGAATAATTTCTCATTTTTCTGATTGTACAGGTTGCAGAATCACATTGGTCATACAGTCACCTATATACATACAGCAATAATAATGTCTATTTTATTCTGCTGCCCTTCCTATTCCCTCTTCCCCTCCCCTCCCCTCTCATCACTTCTCTCTACCCAATCTAATGTGACACACTTTTTTTTTTTTTTTTTGAGACATTGACTTGGATGCGACGGTCACCATCCCTTCTGCCCTGTATGTGGCTCAACTTTATCACCGAATTAGTAAAATAAGTGGGATTACGAGAGCAAGCCAGGAATGATCAAAGGCATCCATCACGGCCCCAGTGTGGTCCAGCCCATCCAACTGGACAGAACCCAGCTCTCCAAGAAATTCATCAGTGACTACCTCTGGAGGGTGGTAGACACCGAGTGGCAACCAGGAGCCTTGTGACCTGCAGAATCGGCCTTGGCGGGTGGTGGGTAGCTCCGTGATGATCAGTTTAAAAATAAATGTCTGTATATATTCTGCTGTCGTGTACAACTAAGTAGAACAAATAAAAAAAGAAAAAAATAGAAATATTCTTATATTAAAATAACCAGATGGTTAAACTAATCAGGTAGTGATATAACTAAAGTAGTTGTTAAAGTTACATTAGTAGATCAAAGGGATAGATTAGAAATCCCAGAAATAAAACAATACAGATTATATAATCAGATAGCACATATATATTATATATATATATAAAAAATCAGATACAAGCATTTCAAATTAGTAGGAGAAAAAAAAGGATTACTAAAACACAGGTATCAGGATAATTGGATTGCTCTTTGTGAAAAGAAAAATTAGGTTAGTTTCCCATTTCACACCTTACTTTAAATAAATTCCAGATAAATTAGAAATACGAACATGAAGAAATAAGAGTTAGAAAAAAATGTGACAGCTGAGCACAATGGCTCCTGCCTGTAATCCCAGAGACTTGGGACGCTGAGGCAGGAGGATCCTAAGTTTGAGGACAGCATCAGCAACTTGGCAAGACCGGGTCTCAAAATAAAAAATAAAAAGGCTAAGGATGTAGCCTTGTGATACAGTGCCCCTGGGGTCAATCCCCAGTACTGCAATTAAAAATCTCCCAGAGGTGAAGGCTGTTCTAGGTATGACATAAAACCCAGTTTTAAAAGAGATTAATAAATTTGACCAAAATATAAATAATTTTCATGATAAAAACATTTGAAATAAAGCCAAAGACAAAAAAATTGGAAAAATATGTGCCAATAAATAAGAAAAGGATGAGGCTAACAATATAACAGCAAAGAAGCAAAGGATATGGAAAACACAATCTACACAGAAGGCTCTAGGACTCTTTAAAGCCTTTAACCATATGAATATATGCCCAATTTCATTCTTAAAAGAAACATAAATTAAAATTATTATACTTTTTTTTTTCCCCTGGCACTTTGAATTGAACCTGGGATGCTCTACCACTGAACTACATCCTGCCTTTTTTGTTTAATTTTTTTGAGACAGGGTCTTGCTAAATTATCACACACTGGCCTCAAACTTGGGATCCTCCTGCCTCAGCTTCCTGAGTTGCTGGGATTACAGGCATGTACCAACATGTGGAACTACAAGGCCTTTTTTAACATATCAGATTAAAAATATGAAAAAACATTCCCAATACAATCACAATGGAGGGCCATTTGGCAGCATTTTTCAAAATTCCAAATGCAAAGCTCTTCAACTTAGCAGTTCTACTTTTAGAATTTTATCCTAGAAACATATTTGTGTGTATGTGAATTATGAATTAACTAAGTCCTGTAGTATCATTATAACAATAAGAAACAGGAAACAATTTAAATACAGCCATACAAGGAAATACTATATATCTGTAAAACAGAACCAGGAAACTTGTTTTTGTTTACATAGAAACTGGGAAGAAACAGAGGTATGTGTGGGGAGTATATCTTTTTATCTTTTTTCTAATTTTGTGCTCTGCGTATTTTCCGTCTACTGAAAAAAACCTAAAATACATTTTAGGAAACAGTTTTTTTTGTTGTTGTTGTTTTGGTGCTTGGGGTTGAACCCAGGGCCTTGTGTATACTAAGCAAGCAGTCTACCACTGAGCTACATCCCCAGCCCTAAAATACATTTAAATATAAAATGCTTTAAGAAATACTAAAAGATATAAACATGTTTTAGAATAGATCACAAACATTCATGTTCTTAAAATATCACACAGAAATTCAAGGGCATTTTAAGCTCAGGTGGGCACTTAAGATTTTGACCTCAGACTTAGGGAAAAGAATAAATGAACATTCACATTTGTCTTAAACCCTAGAGAAAAAGTGTGAAAAGCACTGCTTTGCAAGATAATAGGGCTCACTGACAGGGCAGTGGGGAGATACCTTTTGGATCTTGGAGGTTAAGGTCATACTGAGTATATATATAAATCAGGGTCAGAGATAAAAAGCCAAACAGAAATAACGAAATAGCCCAGAGATGATCAATGGTAAGAAACTAATGCCACCTTTACAGGACAGGACATTGTGTTACCAGAGCCCAGGGAGTTGGATCATCAGCTCAAAGTTGGAACCAAGTAGGTCATAGGACTAATGTTGAAGGGATGGATACTCTGGCTTGCAGGTGGGGAGAAGGGATATTCTGACTTTTTCCTTGGTTCCCTCCAATGTCCAGAAAATGCCTCTCATTAATGGGAGTCCAGCAATTCAGTCCAAAGGCCAAGCTGCACAGTAGTTTAGGCCCTGCAGCTTTCATGGACTCAACCCTCCGTTGCCATTTTGTAAAGAGCAGGAGAAAGGGGAAGAATAGACTTGATGGTAAAACAGGCCAGGATCAGCACAGAGGGAAATCAGGAAAAAATCAAAACATAATTGATAAATTCATCCCCTTGAGGAAAATCAACTCAGGGTGACCTCACAAAGGTTGGTTTCTTGAACAGCAATGTTAAGATCCAGACTTTTTCTCCAAAAAGACTTTATAGTTAGTTTGTACAAAGTAGGATCTAGTTGGTTGTGGTGGCACATGTCTGTAACACCAGCAACTAGGGAGGCAGAGTCCGCAGGATTGGAATTTCAAGGCCAGCCTTAGCAACTGATACCCTGTCTCAAAATAAAATTTAAAAAAGCTGAGAAAAAAAAAAAAAAAGCCATTCTAACAGGGGCAAGATGATTATCATTGTAGTTTTTATTTGCTAATGCTATTCAACATTTTTTCATATATTTCTTGGTCATTTGTATTTGTTATATTAAAAATTATCTATTCAGGTCATTTGCTCATTTTTAACTGGAAAAAAAAAATAAAAAGACTGAGGGTGCAGTTCAGTGGTGGAGTACCCTGATTTACTCTAGTACCACCAGAAACAAAACAATTAGTCTCTAATTCTGGACCATACCCTACATGTGGTCACGCCTCTTAAAAATATTTTAATCCAGCCAGGTGAAGTAGTGCATGCCTGTAATCCCAGTGACAGGATACTTTTTATCAATTTCTTCCTTTGTAACAACCACCATTTGTGGCAGGACTAGTATGCTCAGCCTGCATTAAACACTTTACAAGTACCTTCACACTTAATTCTTCCTTAAACCCCACAGTAATTATTCATACTCTTCAGATGATGGAATGAGGTTCAAAAAGATTAAATAACTTGCCCAAGTAGCACAGCTAGAAATGGTGAGACATGTGCAGAAACTGGAGATTCTACTGCCTCCTGGATACTAAAACAAGGATATTAAATCAAAAAACAACGAATAACGATAAATAAACGAGTGCACATGGCTTTATGGATTTTCCAGTTGTCACCTTTTCAACAGGCTTTCTGTCTTCTTTAAAGTTGCTTCCCCCAACGTTTTTAAAAAGAGGTACCGAGGATTGGGCTAACCCTTTTATTATATTTTGAGACAAGAGTCTCGCTTTGTTGTCCAGGCTGGATTCAAACCAAACCTCTTGAGTCTCTGGGACTAGGGCCGTGGGACCCCGCGCCAGGTTCCACTTGCTTGCTTTATTACCACCATCATCCCTCGGCACTCCACAGGAATTTGTTCCAGCTAAGACACTACATATTGATGTTCTCTCTTTTTCCCTATTTCTAGTAAACTCAGAACCAGAACTTTTTGTGTTTTGTTCCCATGTAATGCAGCGCCGGATATGTAGCAGGGAAGAGCCACATATTTGACGAAAAATAACGCGCTCCCGGAAGCACCCACAATCAAGACTAAATGAGCTTGGATTGAACCTCGTAGGCATCCGTAGTGCTGCCCTTCCCACTTTCTAATAGGTGAAGGGAAGACGAGAAAAGCCCCGCCCCTTGCTTGCCTACAGACCGCCAGGGCTTCGGCAGTTTTTGCGCCAGTCTCGTGAAGGTTGCGGCACCGTCGTGAGCTCTGTGCGTCATTTCCGGGCGGCGCGGAGCCGAGTGGTCAACGGCCCGAAGAGCAGCATGCCTAAGTAAGAGGGTCTCTGAAATATGAGGGAGGTGACAGTCCTTAATGGTAGTCCGGTGAGAGGAGTGGAGAGTGGGTTCTGATACTAGAAGCCTCGAAGGACGGGCGAGGATCTGGGGAATAAGAAGGGTGAGAGATGGCGAGCTCTAGACACCCCTTTCGTAGTGTGGAGGTCGACCCCGCTTAAAGCAACAGAAACCCCCGGTTTTGTCCGAAAGCTTTGACGCCTTAGGATCTGAATAGGGCGTTTAAAAAATTATTATTATTTATTATTATTATTTTCAGTGAACAGCGCTGCCGTGGATTGGTATCTGATAATGGGATGACATCTTCCCTTTTTCTCTCTCACCTCTTTTCAGGTTTTATTGTGACTACTGCGATACATACCTCACCCATGACTCTGTAAGTGATGGATTTCTTCATAGTTTTAAAAAGTCTAATGTGTAATGGTTAAGAAAATTTGTTATTTTTTTTAACGTGTAGATTTGTGCTTTTCAGACTGCTGAAATTTAAGGTTTACTAATTGGAGAAAATAATTGGATGTGTTTATTTTTCTTCCCTTCCTGTAACTGATTTCATAATTTGAGGACATTTGCAAAAATTACTCTTCCAGAAGGCAGTGCTTTCACTGGAAAGCCAAAATATTAGATGTTTAACAAGTTCGAAGATGAAAAAAAGTTACACAAATTTCTAGGAGAGTGCCCTTGAAGTTCAAATAGTTAACTGTATGAAGTTATCAAAATGTTTGGATAAAATGGGAGTAAATGCTGTGATTTGGAACAATATACTTTGATTTGATTAAAAACTTCTTAGCAAATAACAATTACTACTAAGATTGAAGACTTTATTGTGTCAAACTGTGTTTCAAATGTTTTAACATAAATCATTTTGCTTCTTGCTCCCGATATTCTGTAAGTACTTTCATTATCTCCACTTTAGGAAAAAGGAAATTGAGGAAGAGTGTGAGTAGATTACTGACTTTGGATGTTAGAAAACAAGTGATTTGGGCTGGGGATGTGGCTCAAGAGCGCTCGCCTGGCATGCGTGCGGCCTGGGTTCGATCCTCAGCACCACATACAAATAAAGATGTGTCGGCGGAAAACTGAAAAATTAAAAAAAAAAAAAGAAAGAAAGAAAAGAAAACAAGGGCTGGGGATGTGGCTCAAGCGGTAGCGCGCTCGCCTGGCATGCGTGCGGTCCGGGTTCGATCCTCAGCACCACATACAAACAATGATGTTGTGTCCGCCAAAAACTGAAAAATAAATATTAAAATTCTCTCTCTCTTCTCTCTCTCTCTCTCTCTTAAAAAAAAAAAGAAAAGAAAAGAAAACAAGTGATTTTTATATACAGGTGGAAGGTGAGAGTAGGGGGTCCAACTTGGTAATTCTAGTCCAACAGTTCTCAAATATTTTGGTCTCTTTGATCTCAAATCTTTAAAGTTTACATTAAAACCTTAAAAATTTATTGACTTATGTGTATGTATTTTTAAATTGGGTTATATGGTTTGTGTGTGCATATATTTGAAATTAAAACTTAACAAAAGTATTCACTCATTTAAAAGTAACAGTAACAAGCTTTTTCGGGTAACAGCATTTAAAAAGAAACATAGCTATTTTACAAAAAAATTAAGTATAAATAATGATATTGTTTTAGCATCTTTACAAACCTCTGTAATGTCTGACTTAATGGAACACAGCTGGGTTCTTATCTTTTTCCACATTAAATCTGTTACAGTGTGTTGTTTTGGTTGAATCATGTAGAGAAAGGCCAGCTCCTCAATGATATGTAGTTGAAAAAAGGATAGTACTTTTTCTTTTTTTGGTACTAGGGATTGAACCCAGAGTCTTAACCACTGAGCTACATCCTCAGACTGTTTTTAATTATTTTATTTATTTTATCTTGAGACAGAGTCATGCTAAGTTGCTCACGCTAGCTTTGAACTTGAGGTCCTCCTTCTTCAGCCTCCCATATTGCTGGGATTATAGGATTATATATGGGATTATATATAATTCCATATATAATTAGGATTATAAATTATTTATAATATTATATATATTATATTATATAATCCCTTGGATTATAGGGATTATAGGTGTGTGCCACTGATCATGGGTAGTGGTAGTACTTGAATTATCATTTTAGATAATTGTAAAATTCTTTATATTATTACATTAAAACTTAACACATGTTTAGTTTCAATGTGGATTCTGAAACCATATCAGACTTTTCAGAATGTTACATTAAAATTCACTGGCCAAAAAAATAAAAAATCACTAGTCTTATACTTTGGATCTTTTTTAATACATGGTTTTATAATATGAATTGGTTATTTAGAAAACATTGGTTTAGTGAGTTACATAGATCTTCAAGTATGGACACATTTGAATTTAATAGATTTAAAATAGAATTTAATTCTATTAAGAACTCACATTGGGCTGGGGATGTGGCTCAAGAGGTAGCGCGCTCTTCTGGCATGCGTGTGGCCCGGGTTCGATTCTCAGCACCACATACAAACAAAGATGTTGTGTCCACCGAAAACTAAAAAATAAAATATTAAAATTCTCTCTCCCTCTCTCTCTCTCTCTTTAAAAAAAAAAAAAAAAAAAAGAACTCACATTAATTCAGGTAAAAATTGAATCAGTGCCAGCTTTAAGTAGTGAGAAGCTGTCAATTTTATGGTGATAGGTAAGGTTTCCTAAAACTCTAATTTTTGCTTGTAGCTCATATTTTATTATCATCAACAGATACTATCAATTGCTTTCCTGGGCCTTGCATGCTAGGAAAGTGCTCTACCATTGAGCTACATCACTGGCCCTTTTTAAAATTTTTGTTTTAAGGAAGGATATCACTAGGTTGCCCTGGAATTTGGAGTTCTCTTCAGCTAACTGAGTAGCATATGCCTCATTGCCTGGCTACTTCATTCATTTTTTGAGAAGTCTGAATATCCAACATGTTTCCCTTTCTTTCAGGACAAGAGACAACTGATAAAGCTAGCAACTAGAATAATTGCATGCTTGCTTTAAGTACTAACCTAAAAATTTCCTTGAAATTTCACATACTAATGTACAGAAATGCTTTGACAGTCCTTCCATTTTTGTCACCAGAATATTAAAAAGATAGGAACTCAAGAATTGAGAATTAATAAAAATTAGTAACTATATTGTTTCATTAAAGAGAGTGAAACTGGGTTTTTGCCCCCATGAGTTTGGGACGTTGAAAAGTACAGTGATCATTAATACAAAAAGATGCCATGCCTTGATTCATTCTAACGTACCAAAAGTTTGGCATCATCATTGTCAATGCAGTGAAAAAGGAAATGTCTTATGAAAACATATGGAGTTGCACGCCCCTAAAAAGATCTCAGAGACTGTTAGATGTCTGTGAAGCATCCCTTGAGAACCACAACTCTGTTCTGCTTTTGCAAGAACCTGATTAAATCAGTATTCTTGGTCATTTTGAATAGTATCTGGAAGAACTAGCCAGTGATTTCTCTGTTGTCACTTTGTTTAAAATTCTTTTTTTTTTTTTTAATATTTTAAAGTTGTTGATGGATCTTTATTTTATTTATTTGTATGTGGTGCTGAGAATCGAACCCAGTGCCTCATGCATGCCAGGCAAGCGCACTACCACTGAGCCACAACCCCAGCCCCAGTTTAAAATTCTTTTCATGGTTGGGGATGTAATTCAATGTTAGAGTGCTTACCTATCCTTTGCAAGGCCCTGGGGTTGATCCTCAGCACTTCAAAGGAAAAAAAAATCTTTATGAGTGATGTTTAGCATTTACAGATTTGCAAGCTGGGCTTGGTGGCACATACCTGTAGGAGAATCCCAAATTTGAGGTCAGCCTGGGCAACCTCAAAATTAAAAAAAAAAAAAAGGGCTGGGTATGTAGCTCAGTGGTAGACTGCTACTGGGTTCAGTCCTCAGTACTGGTGGGAAAATACAGATTTGCAGGGCATGCAAGTAGAGTGGTTCCTCTTAAAGAAATAGTAGTTCTAATATTATACACTGTCCTGGAGGAGATCCCTCCAATAAATAGCCATTGTAGTAGTTAGTCTTTGAGTATAGATCCCTAGTCTTTTTTTTTTTTAATCCCCTCTTTAGGTAAAACCCCTTGTCATAATTTTCTTAAAGTTCTTTGGGGGCTATGCCTTTCTACTTTTTCTTGGCATATTTTTGCATACCTACTAATAATCTTACTAATACCAGAATTCAGAAAATTATAAAATTTTTATCTCTCTTTATAATAACTTTCTCTTAATGAGAAGTTTTAAGAACCCTATACTATTGTTATTCTGAATTCTTCTTAAAAGTAAAGATGTGATTATAGCAATTTCCTGAAGTGGGCTTCAAAGTGTATTAAAACATCCATTGCTGGCTGGGCATGGTGCACCCCCTTGAAACCCTAGCTATTTGTGACTTTGAGGCAGGAGGATCTCAAGATTGAGGCCAGTTTGTACAATTAAGATGACTCTTTTAACTCAGTTTAAGAGGGGTGTTGCTGGGGGTGTAGCTCAATAGCAGAGCACTTCTAGCATGTGGGACCCCTGGGCTTAATCTCCAATACTGCAAAAACAGAAATATTCAGAGGAAAGAACCCCCCCCACACACACACACACATGAAAACAGAAATGAGGGCTGGGGTTGTGGCTCAGCGGTAAAGCACTCACCTTGCACGTGCAAGGCCCTGGGTTCGATCCTCAGCACCACATAAAAATAAACAAAGATATTGTGTTCAACTACAAATAAAAAATATTTTAAAAAACCCAGAAATGAATTTAACATGTCAGATTTTTCCCAGTGATTTTGTTGCTAGATTCCAGTCTCATAGGTTATTGCTATAAAAACTATTAAATTTAAAAATTTGGTTAATTTAGGGTTTCTTATTACTAGTATCATGGTTAAATTCTGCTGACTGTTAAAAACAAATCACTACAAACCATTTATGTAAAAATGCCAAATCAGTTAGGCAATAACAAAAGAAAAATTTCAAACATTCAGTCATTCAGTGCTACATCTTTTGAACTCTTTTTTTTGTTCTGGGGATGGAACCCAGGGGTGCTTTACCAATGAGCTACATCCCCAGAACTTTTTATTTATTTATTTATTGTGAGACAGCATTGCTAAGTTGAGGGAGGTTGGCTACAAGTTCATGTGATCTTCTTGTTTCAGCCTCCAGGGTCGCTGGGATTATAGGCATGGGCCACATCCATCTTGGACTGTTTGGTTCTTTTTATTTATTTATTTAGGTTTATTTTTATGTGGTGCTAAGGATTGAACCCAGGATTCATACATGCTAAGCAAGCATTCTACCACTGAGCCACAATCACAGCAGCCCCTGGTTGGTTCTTATTTATTTATGTATCTTTAGTTTTAGGTGGACACATTATTTTGTTTTTATGTGGTGCTGAGGATCAAACCCAGTGCCTCATGCATGCCAGGCGAGCACTCTACCACTGAGCCACAACCCCAGCCCTCCTGGTTGGTTCTTAAGTATGATTTTTTTGGTTAGACATAAGGCATCATTGCTGTATTAATGTAAGCAGTAGTTTGGGAGACAGCAACATTTTGAAATATAGACAGTGGAAAGATAGTTTCTCTGGCTGGGCGCAGTGGCACACGCCTGTAATCCCAGCAGCTTGGGAGGCTGAGGTAGGAGGATTGCAAGTTCAAAGCCATCCTCAGCAGAAGTGAAGCACTAAGCAACTCAGTGAGACCCTGTCTCTTAAAAAAAAACACACACACAATAGGGCTGGGGATGTGGCTCAGTGGTCGAGTGCCCCTGAGTTCTAGTCCTGGTAACCCTCCCTGTAAAAAAAAAAGATAGACTCTGCTCAGTGGACATTAGTCACATCTACTGTGATTGAATTAGTCAGGGGAGGAATGTAGAGATGTAGTTAGGCAGCCATTAGGAGCATCTGAGTGAGATCTGGCTTCCAGGCCTTAGTTTAATGTTTATCAGTTTTGTGTTTTGAGGTAAGTCTTAAGCATAAATAGAAGATAATAACTGTAGTTTTTTTCAGCAAATTTATTGACTTACAATTATGAATTATAATTTACTTTTATATATATATATTTATTTTTTTTTAGGTGTAGATGAACACAACGCAATGCCTTTATTTTTATGTGGTGCTGAGGATTGAACCCGGGTCCTGCCCATGCTAGGCGAGCCTCAATCCCAGGCCCTATAATTTACTTAAAAAAATTTTTTTTAGTTGTAGATGGACACAATACCTTTATTTTTTATTCATTTTTAAAAATATTAAAAAATTATCTCTCTCTCTCCTGTCTCTTAAAAAAAAAAAATTCATATGGTGCTGAGGATCAAACCCAGTACCTTACATGTGCCAGGCAAACGCTATACCACTGAGCTTCAACCACAGCCCCATAATTTACTTTTAATTTTATGCACACATTTTATATGTAGAGCTTATTGACTTGTCATATAATTACAACTTGATGTGTTCATTCACACAAAATATTTCTGTCACCACAGAAAGTTCCCTTTATAGTTAGTCTCTAGCAAAACTGGCCTTTCAATTGATCAATTAAAGAGATACTGTGTCCACCTATAATTATAAAACAAACATTTAAACAATAAATAAATAAATAAATAAATAGATTGCTGGGTTGCTTACATAGAGGTAAATATTTTTCAACTTTCTCATTTAGGAGATTTGTTTCTGTATCTGATACAACCTTTTTGTTTTACAGCCATCTGTGAGAAAGACACATTGCAGTGGTAGGAAACACAAAGAGAATGTGAAAGACTACTATCAGAAATGGATGGAAGAACAGGCTCAGAGCCTGATTGACAAAACAAGTATGTTTTGGTTTCTTGTTCTGATGTGACAGAATGGTCCCATTCTATTCCCTCCCTGTCTTTTTGTTGTGTTTCACAGAAGCAATACCTTCTGAATGATAAATAGGGGAATTTGCCCATGTTGAATGGAAGAAGTGGAAGGTCATTGATTTCCCAAGAATATAGAAGCATGTTAATATTAATTGTTGAGGGTTGAGCAATCAGAGATAGAGTTGTCAGGTTTGGGTTATATTGGGAGGTGGGGCAGAGAAGAATGGAATTGCCTAATATTTCTCTGTTGACATGATTTTTTAGTAAATTTATGTAAACCCCTCTTTGTAGTGGTCCACAATTTTTAGAAGTATTTTTCTGTTGTAATAGGTAAAGGCTGGGGAGGATTTATGATTTTCTTCAACTAACTGGAGAGACTTCATTTGACTTTCTTATTTGTAGCCCTGAAAGAAAGAAATAGCAAAGCAAAGAAACAAATAAGACTTAACTGATGTGGCAAAGTAGTCTGAATATTTTGGACCCATATTTTTGTTGTAAATGCCTTTTTAAAAAAAATATTTATATTTTAGTCATAGTTGGACACAATACCTTTATTTTATTCATTTATTTTTATGTGGTGCTGAGGATCAAACCCAGGGCCTCCCATGTGCTAGGGCTAAGCCACAACCCCAGCCCCTGTAAATCCCTTTTTTATGTTAATTAGAAATGTTTTGTTCTGGCTAGTTGAACCAAGATACTGATAGAAGTTACACTTGTACTTTAGGTTATACTGGTATATTTTTGAAACATGACCTTTCTTAAAAATTCATTGTACTCCAAGCTGGCAGGCAAATGTAGACTTTGTGATTAAAAAAAAAAAAAAAAAAAAGCAAAACTATTTTGAAAAGTTTTAAATAAAGTAGAAAGACTGAATTAAGGCCTGAACTTTCTCTGTCCCCACTCCCTACTTTCTCATCACCCAGCTACAAGAATCTTGTTTAGCTTACACCAAGTTTCTTAATCTTGCATTCTGCCCTTTGCATTTTAAGATGTTTAGGAACATCCTGGGTATGAACCCACTAGTTGTGACTACTTTTAAAAAATGTTTCCAGGCATGTAGGAGTACTGAGTACCTTTATTTACTCCCTTTTGGTGTCCAGGATTTTTATGGAGTAAATCTCATAAAAATAGTAAATCTATTTCATTTGAAAAAATTAATTCTGTCATCCTTTTCCTCCCGTTCCCCAGTATGGGGATTAAACACAGGGGTGATCTTCCAATTAGCTCCATCTCCAGCTGTTTTTAGTTTGAGATAAGGTCTTGCTAAGTTGCCTGTGTTGTCCTTGAACACAATTGTGATCCTCCTGCCTTAGCATCCCCACTTGCTGGGATTTCAGATGTGTGCTGCTGCGCCCAGCTAGAAAGTACCTTTTTGATTGGAAAAGCCCTTATTGAGATATATAATTCCTGATAGAGCACAGGTATATAATAACTCTTATTTTTAAATTTCTTTTTTTTTTTTTTAAGTATTTATGTTTTAGCTTTAGGTGGATACAATATCTTTATTTTATGTGGTGCTGAGGATTGAACCCAGTGCCTCACATGTGCTAGGCAAGCACTCTACCTCTTGAGCCACAACCCCAGCCCTAATTTGACCTGATTTGTATTGATGGGGGTGAAGTAGGATGGCCTGCAGACAATATTGAATTGGGAAATTCTTACCTCAGGTATAGATTTTTTTTGTTTTTATTTTTGCCTTTTTTGGTACTGGGGATTGAACTCAGGGATACTTAACCACTGAGCCACATCCCCAGCCCTTTTCTGTGTTTTATTTAGAGATAGGGTCTCAATGAGTTGCTTAGTGCCTCGATAAATTGTTGAGGCTGGCTTTGAACTCATGATCCTCCTGTCTCAGCTGATGGGATTACAGGCATGCACCACTGCACACAGCTCAGATGTAGATATTTATGAGTGTGCATTTTAATATTTAGTTGTGACTTTTCTTTTTTCTTGTTACTGGGGATTGAACCTATAGGTGCTTAACCACTGAGGCATATCCCCAGCCCTAGTTTAGTTTTTACTTTGAGATAGGGCCTTGCTAAGTTGATGAGTCTGGCTTTGAATTTGATATCCTCCTCCCTCAGCCTCCTAAGTTGCTGGGATTACAGGCATACACCACCTGGCTAATATGACTTTATTGGGGACTGAACTCAGGGGCACTCAACCACAGAGCCACATCCCCAGTCCTAGACAGGGTCTCACTGAATTGCTTACTGCCTTGCTTTTGCTGAGGCTGGCTTTTCTAGCCACTGGGATTACAGGTGTGCGCCACCACACCCAACCTGTTATGACTTTTTGAAAGCCAAATATAGATGATCATCAGTTTTTTTTCTTTTCACTTGTACCTCATATGGTAAGAAAGAAAAAAGTTGATAATATTGGATATTTTTGAGGTTTTTTTTTTTTTTTTTTTTGTATTGGGGATTGAACTCAGGGGCACTTACCCACTGAGCCACATCCCTAGCTCTATATTGTATTTTATTTAGAGACATAGTCTCACTGAGTTGCCTAGTGCCTCACTGTTGCTGAGGCTGACTTTGAACTCCTGTCTCAGCCTACCAAGCTGCTGGGATTACAGGTGTGCGCCACCACACCTGGCAGTATTGGACTTTTTTAAGATCATAATTTCTTTCAGGGCAGGCTCTTGCTTTGAAATCAGTGTTTTGGGGCTGGGGTTTTAGCTCAGTGGTAGAGTGCTTGCCTATCTTTTGTGAGGCACTGGGTTCTATCCTCCTTAGCACCACATAAAAATAAAAACATAGGGCTGAAGCTATGGCTTAGTGGTAGTGCACTTGCATGGCATGTGTGAGGCATTGGGTTTGATTCTTAGCACCACATATAAATAAATAAATAATAAAGGCCTATCAACAACTAAAACAATTTTTAAATAAATAAAAACATAAAATAAAGGTATTGGGTCCATCTACAACTACAAAAAAAAAAAGAAAGAAATTATTGTTTCTTCCACATCTCCTAAATCAGTGCATTAATTTAAAAAATGGCAAGGCAAAATGATGTGGTGTTTTCACCAGGATATAGAAAAGATACAAAATTTTAAAGCCTGGCCTTTGGGCATGTATTACACATTTCTCAAACAAGATAATGAATGGCTTGAGTTGGTTATAAGTCACATACAGATTAAACGTGACTACTTTGCTGAGTGTGGTGGCACATATACAATCCTAGGGACTCTGGAGGCTGAGGCAGAAGGATCACAAGTTGGAGGACAGCCTAGAGCACCTCAGTAGTAGAGCACCTTGGTTTTAATCCCCAGTATTAAAAAAGAAGAAAGAAAGAAAGATGATGATTTCTTGTTGGTAAAAGACATTGGTTAGGTAGGAAATTTTCACTCTCAAGGTCCCATTGTTATTTTAACCATAGAAATACTATATAGTAAAAAGTAAAAGTACCTGGTAAGTGAATAAAATTTTTTTATGGGAGGTACTAAGGATTGAACCCAGGGGCGCTTTACCACTGAGCTATATCCATAGTCTTTTTTATTTATTAGTTTGAGACAGGATCTCACTAAGTTGCTGAGGCTGAACTCCAATTTGCAATCCTCCTGATTTGCCTCCCAAGTTGCTGGGATTACAGGCATGTGCCACCACACCCAGCTTAAATTAATAAAAATTCTAAAGCATTTAAAATAACTAAATCAGTAGTTAGTTGCTATTTTAACCAGTGAATACCTACAATTGATTTTAAAATGGTAGAGTAATGACATAGTAACTTTACATGTTAGAGTGAAGTATTTGGAATATTTAAAAGAAAAGTGGTTATTTTTGTAAATGTATTTTGAATTCATATTCATGTTTGTTTTTTTCCCCTATCCATCTTCCCAAAGCGGCTGCATTTCAACAAGGAAAGATACCTCCTACTCCATTCTCTGCACCTCCTCCAGCAGGTGCTATGATCCCACCTCCCCCTAGTCTACGTAAGTTCAAAGGTTTTATATTAATGGGTGTAACTGGGTAGATTATCCTTTGATTATGTTAGATTATCTTAGTTGGTTTTCAAATGCTTATGTAAATGAATACATGAATAGTAATAGAAAACAACTTTAGTGGTATAATTTCCAAAATAGTTTTCGAGTTGATTTGATGATATTATTACTAAGGTATTGTAATTGTGACATCCCAATTCTTTTTTATTTTTATTCTTTGTGGATTTTTGAGGTGGATTCAAATGGAGAGTTAAGAATGAACATGTGATTAAATGAACTAATATGTAAATAGGTGTTGTTGAGCACATTAAGTTAGTCACTGCTATGAACAGAACACCAGAAGACTGAAATAGCTGGTAAACTTCTCAAGTCTTTTTTCATATTTCTAACCCACCTAACAATCAACATATATGCCTTGTGAAAGATAAGAATTGGATTGTTGAAGGTGGAGCAGTTCCAGTGCCTCTGCTCTGTAGAAAAGCCTGTCACTGCATAGCAGACAGGAGGAAATTGAATACTAGGTTATAGTCCTTTTTGCTCCCCTGGGAAGGTTCAGATTGAAATTGGATTCACTCATCATGGATACAAACACAAAAAGTTTGACTGTTTTAATTGTTGCACACTAATGCAGGTGAACCCCTAATGGCCTGCCAAACCATTTCTAGGTATTTGTCATCGTGGGATTTGGTCTGGCCTGGGCCCACAGCAACTCCCAGGTCACTTATGTCTTCTTGTTCACCTTGATTGACTTTTTCCCCCACCTTTTTGTTTTTTCTTTCAGTGTTGGGGTTCAAATGCATGGCCTTGTGCTTGCCAAGCACCTGCTGTTATCACTGAACTATACCCCTTAGGCCTCCATTATTTTTAATAGAGTAGTTCATGATATGGATGTATCATAATTTATCACATCATTTTCTTAGATATTGTTAGATATTTAAGTTATTCCAGTTATATTGTTTTTATAAATGATACTATCAGGAATATCTCTGCATATAAGTCCTCGTTCTTCAGAAGAATATTCTTTTTTTAAAGTACTCGGAATTAGGCCCAGAGGCAAGCTAGGCAAGCACTCTACCACTTTACCACTATGCTACATCCCCAGCCCTTAAAAGTTCTGTCTGAGACATGGTCCTTGAACTTTCATACCTCCTATCTTAACCCTGTAGTAGCTAGAATTACAGATGTGTGCCAGCTTGCCCAGCTCAAGAATCTTTTTAAACATAAATTTTGATCTTTTTGAGGGCTGGGGTTGTGGCTTAGTGGTAGAGCACTTGCCTGGCATGCGTGAGGCACTGGGTTCAATCCTAAGCACCATGTTAAAAAATAAATAAAATAAAGGTGGTATTGTGTCTGTAAAACTAAAAAAAAAAAAGATCTGAAATTATGTACTTGTGATTTTAGTTCATTACCTTTTTGTCAAGAGCCCTAGGGAGAGTATAATCTATTCTTATTTATTTATTTAGTTGTGCTGGGGATTGAACCCAGGGCCTCATGCATGGTAGGCAAGTTCTCAAATACTGAGCTACGCCCCTAGCCTCAGAATTTTTGTTTTTAAACCTGAGGAACCTAACTTCATTTTATAGTTCTGTCTAGGCATGTTTTTATTTTTATTTTTTGCTTTTTAGTTATAAAGTTTTATGGCATGTGATTTTTGTAGAGCTACTGTTAATAAAACCATTAGAAATCCATTGTTTCAAAATTGGAAACAATTCCTGAGACCATATTAGTTTCAGTTAAGAAGAAAACTTATCAGCTGAGCATGGTGGCATACACCTGTAATCCCAGTAGTTTGGGAGGCTGAGACAGGAGAATCGTGAGTTGAAAGCCAGCCTGAGCAATGGTGAGGTGCTAAGCAACTCAGTGAGACCCTGTTGGTAAATAAAGTTCAAAATAGGGCTGGGGATGTGGCTCAGTGGTCAAGCACCCCTGAGTTCGATCCTTGATAGCAAAATAAATAAATAAATAAATAATAATAATAATAATAATAAGAAGAAGAAGAAGAACAATATATAAGCATAGAAATATACTTTGACCATAAACACTTCTTTATTTTAGCGGGTCCTCCTCGCCCTGGTATGATGCCAGCACCCCATATGGGAGGCCCTCCCATGATGCCAATGATGGGCCCTCCTCCTCCTGGGATGATGCCAGTGGGACCTGGTAAGTCGAACTGTCTTTCCTTTCAGCAAGCTATATTGTTTTTGTTCTCTAGTTAAGTGGAATTCTTAAGTAGCTACCTAAATGTATTATTACATGTATTGTAACAGATTTGGTTAATCTTTAATGATAAACAAAGAAATATTGGATTTATTAGTATAAATGGAGTATCTAATAACCTTGCGCTACTAAAAGCAAGATAAGGCTGCCTCTGTCTTCCTTCTCCCTCCCTGTTGTTTTGTTTTATCTTGACTTGTGGCCACTAATGATGAACAGGAGGGCAGATGAGCTTATTTCATTTTGATTTGGAGCAGAGCTTCCTCCTGTTGCACATATATATTTATTATTTACTTTTAATTTTTTTGTGTGCTAGGGATCAAACACAGTGACTTGTGCCTGCTAGGCAAGCACTCTACCACTGAGTTAAAGTATACTTTAACCCCAGCTCTCTTGTTACATATTTAATGGCCCAATCAGTATTCTAAAAAGACCTAGTAGCTGTTATTTTGTCCAGGGAGTGGGAAAAAAATCCTATACCTGAAGCATTTTATTTACTTCTTAATTAAATTTAATTTTTTATTTAAGCAGTTTTTTGTGTGTTATGGATTGAACCCAGGACCTTGCCCATGCTAATTGAGTGCTCTACCACTGAGCCATTACCATTTTATTTAGTGTAAACATAAATTACATTGATTTGCAAATATTTCTGATCCATGGGTAGGATCTTTGCTTTGTGAGTCTGCTGATTGGAAAATTGTATTTCTATCATAAACCCATAAAACAGTGCATCTTCTACCAACTTTAGTTTCGTTTTCTTAGAAATGGTAGGAGACTGTGATGTAATCTAGTCCAATCTTACGATTGTTTTGCCTACCAAATTTCTGAGCATTTTGGGGATGATTTGCCTGATTCTTTTTAAGTATATCCAATTAGTTTTCATAAAAACAATTTTGTTTTCATGCTCTTTTTTTTTTTTTTTTTTTTTAAGAACAGTTAAGTCATATAACTAGAAATAAATATGACTGACCTAAACAGGTTTGGGGACATCTGATTGATGCCTACATCTCAACTGGAAAAAAAGGTGCAAAGGTATTATAGTAGCTTTCTAGCCAGAAAGTAGTCAGTATGCTGCTGTGGGTATCATTTAGAGTTCCTGACTTATATAGGCTTGTGGACCCAAAACACAACTGAAGTGATTGATTTAGCTTTAGCATTCTTAAATTAGGGCCATGTATTCAGATACCTAGAGGGTTTAGGATGTGCTGAACTGAGGAAAATATGACCTACCTAAAGAAGAAGGCTTCCAGCCAGGCACATACCACCATACATACACCACATGTATGGTGGCATGTGCCTATAGTTCTACCTACTCAGAAGGCTGAGGCAGGAGGATTGCTTGAGCCCAGAAATTTAGGCCTACTTGGACAACATAGCAAGACCCTGCCTCTCTTGAAAAGGAAAAGGAAAGAAAGAAAAAAAAAAAAGAAAAAAGAAAAGAAAAAAGGGTCGGCTTCCAAAATTCAATTTCAGCCTGTGATTGACTTGAGAATGCAGGCTTGATGTTTTCTTTTTAAAAAATTTTCAGAGCCAGGATAAAGTGATAAGATTGTGGGATTGTGTTAAAAATAATTTGAGGAATTGGGGGTTGGGTGGGAATAGAAATTAGTTGGGGTATAACTGAACAAAGTTGGTCACGAGTGGATAAGTGTTGATGCTGGATGGTGGATACATGGATATTCATCATACTCCTTTGTATTGAGTGTATGTTGGATTTTGTGTCTTTGCATATAGTCGTGTTTCTTTTTGTGATAAGACTATATTCAATTTTAAATACATTTTTTTTATAGTTTTCTTTTTTTTCTAAGTATAGCTTTCTTTTTTGCTACCTCCACACTGGGGCAGCATTAGGTATTGAACCCAGGGCATTGTGCATGTTGAGCAAGCACTGAGCTACATCCCCAGTCTCGAATATAGTTTTCCTTGAACTATTTACTTAAATCTTTAATGAAAACTGTTTAAGTAAAAATAAATAACTAGTGCTCAGCATGATAGCATATGCCTGTAATCCTAGCACTTGGGAGGCCAAGGCAGGAGGACTGTAAGTTTGAGGTTAGCCTCAGCAATTTAGTGAGACTCTCAGCAACTTAACAAGACCCTGCCTCAAAAAATAAAAAGGACTGGGGATGTAGCTCAGTGTTAAGCACCCTGGGTTAAATCCTCTGTATAGGAAAAAAAAAAAATAGGCAAAATTTGATACTTGAAAAATTTATGTAGTATGAAAATTATGAGCAGGGGGGCTGGGGTTGTGGCTCAGCGGTAGAGCGGTTGACTTGTAGGTGCGAGACCCTGGGTTCTATCCTCAGCATCACATAAAAATAAATAAGTGAAATAAAGGTATTGTTTCCAACTATAACTGGAAAATAATTTTCTTTTTATGAGCCATAATAATAAAATGAATACCCATGAAACCACCACCCAGCTGGAAATAGAACATGATCTATTCATTGAAATTGCCTGTGTTGTTCCCTTACCCCTCTGCTTGCTCTCCCTTCCCTACCTCATATATTTGGCTGATTTATTGATGGGACACTTAAAACAATTCAGTAATAGTTTCTAAAGTGCATTAGAAAAATAAAATTTTGTGTATGCTAATTGTTATAAATCACATTATTGCCTATTATTTTTCTTGACTTGAGCTAAGTATGGTTACTAACAGGTTCTCAGCATGGGCCTCCTGCTCACCTTTCCTACAACTCCGAACAAACGCTTAGTGGTAAGATTGTCCTCTGTGCCTGTGTACATTCATGAAATAGCTCCTGGTTATATGGTGGATATAACTGGTTAAAAGAGCTGACTGAAAAACATGTGACTTAGTTGTGAATTTCCCTGAGTAAGAAAAAAGGTCGGTTTAAGGAACTAGTGTCCCTGGTGATTTCTCAAAAACAGTCTATTCATAGTTTCCCCCTTACTATCATTAGATCATGATACCCACATGGTTCTTGTGTTGACCTTTTTGTTTTTTTGTTTGAGAATGTCTAAGTAATTTACAAATGTGATGAACCTGTTGCATTTCTTCTGTCAAGTGTGTCTTTTTTCCAGCATTTTGCAGGGGGGGTACTTTATTTGTTTTTAGTTGAAGTCCCATCAGACACTCTCTCAAATGTTATTTCCTCACTCCCATTTCTCCCTTTTCTTTGTTTTGTCCTGCAGCTCCTGGAATGAGGCCACCAATGGGAGGCCACATGCCAATGATGCCTGGGCCTCCAATGATGAGACCTCCTGCTCGTCCCATGATGGTGCCCACTCGGCCAGGAATGACACGACCAGACAGATAAGGATAGAGGGGAGCTTTTTCAGTTTTATATTACTTGTTTACTTCATTCACCAGGAGATCATGGTGCTGTGTGACTCTGGGTGTTTTCTAACAGTATGACAACAAAGACTTGCTCCCTATTTGTATCAAAGAGAATAGTTTCAGAAGGGAGAAATTGGAAAAAGTACAGTTTTCATTTGTATTGTGAAATGTGAAAATAAAGTTGTCAGCTCTTTTAGTTAAAAGTGTGTTCCCTGTTCCCTTTTTCCTCCCCTTCGTATTCTTTGTGTATTATAAAGAGATCAGACATTTTGGTTGTGGTGTCCTAGCTCATTTTCTTCTTCAGCATGTACTGTGTGTGAGATTCTTTTCCGTAGCTATAGAGGAAGTCCCTTTTAGCACCCTGGCTTTAGATAGTAAAATTCTTTCGCCTGGGATTTTGGTAAATCTAACAGTTCTATAGAGCTTGTTTTGTTTTTCTTTTTGCATGCTGGGAATTGAACCCAAGGCCTAGCACATGCTAGGTAAGCACTCAACCACTGACCTACATCCCCAGTCAGTTAAGCTTTTATGGCTTTAAATAATAAACACCATAATTGGTTAATTTTCGCATGAATAAATGGAAAGCTTTAAGTCTTTCATGATGAAATAGGGGAAAATACTTGATGTTTTGTATTTTGTACATCTCAGCTAAAGAAGGCAGGAATTGCCTTAACCTCAGCTTCTCCTTTCTCTTGGCTCCCCTCTATCTTGGCTTCAAATAGCCTGAAATTTTCAATAGGAATCATAAAATTAGGCAAAGTTTTGTGATACAGAAAATGTACTTAGAATACTATTTGGAAAACATCTAAAAAGCATTGGCATAGTTCATATTCAGTTCAGTATAAAATTTACACTTTTTCACATTGCAAGTGGCATTGAAAATTGTACAACCTCTGGGAAGGGCAATTTGGCATTATCAGAATTACAATACCGGTATCCTATGACCTAGTATTTTCATGTTTAGGAATTCATCCTACAGGTAAAGTTGCACACATACAGAATGTTGTGTTAAAAGATTATGTATTGGGGATTCCACCTCTTGGGTCCCCTTCTTCCTCCGGGAGAAGTCTTTTCTGCTGTCCTTTAATAAACTTCTAATTTCTACTCTGAAAAAAAAAAAAAAAAAGATTACGTATTGGACTGAGGTTGTGGCTCAGAGGTAGAGCGCTCGCCTAGCGCGTGCAAGGCCCTGGGTTTGATCCTCATCACCACATAAAAATAAATAAAAAGAAAGGTATTGTGTCCAACTACAACTAAAAACTAAATATTTAAAAAAAAAAAGATTATGTATATTGCAGCAAAAGATTGGAAACAGCATTACATTGATACCTGTGATAGGGAGCTGATTTATGAAGCGTGATTCATTCACAGTGTTGCATATGTCAGTATTGTTAGAATAAGGAAGCTCAATAGAAAAGATTTCTGCAATACACATTGCTCTGCATCTTAGTTTCTTCATACAACAATATCTTATTCACTGCTGTCCATTGTTGAGAAAATATATATCTAGGAGTCTAAAAGACACCTAGACTGAAGCTATGTAACTGGGACAAATAATCACCAGTGGACTTTTTCATACGGAATGACAGCTCTTGGCAAGTATCTTATTTCTCATACAGCCTAGAATCAAGGAAGTAGCATTCTGATAAACCATTCAAAAGCCCTGACAGTAGAAATGATGAGAACCTGGACTTCAAATGTACTCACAGTGGTTTTAGATTTGCCCACAGAAAAGTAAGCATGTATTTTATCCCAAATTGACTCTAATGTCTCCTCTTCCTGATATTTAGTATTCTTTTGTGTACCTATACAAATGTTAACATTAGAGTTCTTATTTTATAAAGAAAACTGCATGTCTGAAGTCATAAGTCAGTAACAGTAAGTTGTACTTTTTTATAGCCCTTTAGAAAAGGAAGTGTCTTCTAATCATTCATTATGTTAGTTTGCCCTTTGAATTGATTAAAAATCAGAACTTATTTGTTTCTGCTTTTGTTCTCTGTAGTTATGCTTTGTTAAACTTTGAAGTCATCATACTATTTTTCTGAAACTACATCAGACATTTTCTTGCAAGACTAGAAGTGTTCAACCTTAAAAACACTTTGGGTACATACCTATAATGCCAGCTATTCAGGAGGCTGAGGCAGGAGGATGACTTGAGCCAAAGTATTTTTAGCTTCCCTACCCCAAATAAAAAGAAGTGTCTTGGTTATGGAATATAAGTTGGCTATAAAAACAGTGAACTACCGATGGAACAACTTAGATGTATCTTAAGGGCAGTATGCTGAATGAAAAAAAAAAAAGCCTGAAAAAAATCAATAGTCTACATAATTCTGGTTATATAAATAATAAAATTATAGAGATGAAGGAGAAATAGTAGTTGCCAGAGGTCAAGGATGGTATTGGAGTGGAGTGGGATATGACTATAAAGGAGTAGCATGAGAGAGACCATTATGTGTATCTTGATGACATTAGTGGTTGCACAAGTCTACATGAAATAAAATGACAGAACTACATATGGATTTGGTCTTTTATATTGTACTATAGTTACATAAGATGTAACCATGAAGGAAACGGGGTGAAAGATACACAGGACCTCTGTATTTATAACTTCTTGTGCATCTATAATTATTCAAAATAAAAAGTTAAAATAAATATGTGTTCTTCCACTTCCAGGAATATGGAGTAGATGTACTTTCTCTTATTCCTACTACTAAATATAACTGAAACTCTGAATATTTTCAAAGTGCTTCAAATATGTGTGTGTGTGTGTATATGCATATTTATGCTATGTTTATATATGTATGTGTATATACATGTAAGTATGCAAAATAAAACAACCATAAGAAACTGAAAGGCAAAGAGAGGAAGGCAGACTTGTTGAGGAACTTGGGACCTAAGGAACAATACAGTGAAAGGAACTACATGGTGAATGCCCGGGTGGGGTGGGGGTGCCTCATATATTCTAGACCTACAACTGAAATTGGCATCCAAGGAACACTGGGCACAGATGAAAAACACCCAAAGAAAAGTCTGGTCTTGGAAGACAAACGACTAGGAAAGATGCAGTTTAACAAGGTAGAAAACTTAGACATTAACCACTCTACTCCAGTCACGGCCCCACCCCACTTGGGCCAGCAAAGGCTAAGTGGAAAGCTTAAATTCCACCTTCCTGAGGCTGTGTTATGATGCCCCAGCTCTGCTGGGTTGATGGTCAGAGAAGGTCTCAGGAGCTGGGATTGTTATCTCTATCCAGCAGTAACAAGGTGTTACCATCTCCCGATTGAGGTAATGTTAGAGGATACACTCAGGACTTTTACTGTTACCCAGGTTGTACCCATCCCTGTCAGTGGAGGCCTGTGGGGAATAGTAATGAAGCATTCTGTGTCTCCCAGCAAGAGTATTGGTGAAGGCCTGCCTTCGAACCAGAACTTCTACGTTGGCCTTGCAGAAATGAGGAACTCCTTGCCTGTGTCTAGGGAGACCAAGTGATCTGGATTTCTACCTTCATCTTTAACGGTAACAAAAGGATACTTCCTCCTGCTGGACCAGTGTGAGAAAGAGCCTGCAAAATGAAAGGTTTAAATAAGATACAGGTACAAAACAATACATAATGCCCAACCTTCAATTTAAAGTCACTTGTTATGCCAAGAGTCAGGAAAACCTCAATTTTCAAAAGCAACCAATAGATGTCAACACAAAATGACAGAGATATTAGAATTATTTAACAAAGATTTTAGAACAATTGAGGCAGGATTGCAAGTATGAGACCAGGCTGGGCAACTTTGTTAATACCCGGATAGCAAACAACAAAAAAGTACATGCTTCAGTGAGCAATGATGGACATACTTCAAATAAATGAAGAAATAGTATCAGCAAATCAATGGAAATTCTCAATGAAGAAACAAGCTAGAAGAATCAAATGGAAATTTTGGAACCAGAATTAAATATTCAGTGGATAGTCTCAACAGAAGATTGAAAGGGACTGAAGAAGGAATTGGTGAATTTGAAGATAGAACAATAGAAACTATCCAATCTGAACAGAAAATAGACTTTAAAATAAATGAATGAAGGTTCAGGGATCTCTAGGACAATAACAAAAGATCCTGATAATCATGTCAGAGTCTAGGAGAGTCGAAAAAGATGGCCAAAAAGGTACTAGAACAAATGCTTGTTGAAAACTTCCCCAAATTGCAAGAGACAAACCTAATTAAGAAGCTCAGTTGTTGAGAGCCACAGTCGAAGGGGCCCCAGCAAACTTCCAGCTGCCAGCAAACTTCCAGCTGCCAGCTGATGATTGGCTCACAGCGGCCCCAGCAAACTTCTAGCTGCCAACTGATTGGCTCCTCTGCAGTGATGCTCATTGGGCTGTTTCCCCGCCCTTTCCGACCACGGAGCTGCTTATTGGGGGACAAGTGGCTCCTGAATTGTGCCCAGCCAGACCGCGGCACTCAGTGAACTCTAATCTTTTTTTTTTTTCTAAATATTTATTTTATTTTTTTAGTTGTAGGTGAACACAATATCTTTACTTCATTTTTATGTGGTGCTGAGGATCGAACCCAGGGCCTCACATGTGCTAGGCAAGCACTCTACTACTGAGCCATAACCCCAGTCCAACTTTTATCTTGATGAATTCAAAAGAAATCCACACCAAGACAAATTGTAGTCAAATTTCTGTAAACTATAGTCAAAAAAACTAGAAAGCAACTGGAGAGAAAAATGACAACTATTAGAGTTCCAAGGATGGCAAATGTATCATGAGAAACCAGGGAGGGCCAGGTGCAGTCGCATACGGCCTATAATCCCAGTGGCTTGGGAGGCCGGGGCAGGAGGATTGCAAGTTCAAAGCCAGCCTCAGCAAAAACAAGGTGGTAAGCAACTCAGTGAGACCCTGTCTCTAAATAAAATACAAAATAAGACTGGGGATGTGGCTCAGTGGTCAAGTGTCCCTGAGTTCAATCCCTGGTACCAAAAGGAAAAAGAAACCATGCAGGCCAGAAGCAAGTAGCTAAGCAGTTTTTGATAACTGAAAGAAAAGTGCAGATTCCTATATTCAGTAAAAATATGCTTCAGAAATCAAAGAGAAAGATGTTCTCCCATGAAGGAAAAGAGAATTTGCTGCCAAATTGTCTTAAAAGAATGTCCAAATAGGGGTTGAGGTTGTGGCTCAGTGATAGAGCACTTGCCTAGCATATCACTGTATATA